ATATTTTCTACATTTTCAAATATATTGATTTCAATTACAACACAGAATACAAAGTGTACAGTGCCCACTTTATATTTATTTTTGATGATAAATATTTGTACTGTAAAAAACAAAAGAAATGGTATTTTTCAATTCACCTAATACAAGTACTGTAGTGCAATCTCTTTATCATGAAAGTTGAACTTACAAATGTAGAAATACATACAAAAAAAACTGCATTCAAAAGTAAAACAGTGTACAACTTTAGAGCCTACAAGTCCATTCAGTCCTACTTCAACCAATCGCTCAGACAAACAAGTTTGGTTACAATTTGCAGGAGATGCTGCTGCCTGCTACTTGCTTACAATGTCACCTGAAAGTGAGAACAGGTGTTCCCATGGCACTATTGTAGCTGGCATCACGAGATATTTATGTGCCAGATGTGCTAACGATTCATATGTCCCTTCATGCTTCAACCACCATTCCAGAAGACATGCATCCATGCTGATGATGGGTTCTTCTTGATAACGATCTAAAGCAGAGCGGACTGCATGTTCATTTTCATTATGTGAATCGGATGCCACCAGCAGAAGGCTAATTTTCTTTTTTGGTGGTTCGGGTTCTGTAGTTTCCACATCAGAGTGTTGCTGTTTTAAGACTTCTGAAAGCATACTCCACACCTCATCCCACTCAGATTTTGGATGGCCCTTCAGATTCTTAACCCTTGGGTAGAGTGCTATAGCTATTTTTAGAAATTCCACATTGCGTTTTGTCAAATCTGCAGTGACAGTGTTCTTAAAATGGACATGTGCTGGGTCATCATCCAAGACTGCAATAACATGAAATATATGGCAGAATGCGGGTAAAACAGAACAGGAGACATGCAGTTCTCCCCCAAGGAGTTCAGTCACAAATTTAATTAATACTTTTTTTTTTTTTTACAAGCATCATCTGCATGGAAACGTCCTCTGGAATGGTGGCTGAATCATGAAGGGGCATGCGAATGTTTAGCATATCTGGTATGTAAATACCTTGCAACGCCAGCTACAAAAGTGCCATGCGACCTCCTATTTTCACTGTTGGGTGAAATAAATAAGAAGCAGGCAGCCTTATCTCCCATAAATGTAAACAAGCTTGTTTGTCTTAGCGATTGGCTGAACAAGAATTAGGACTGAGTGGACTTGTAGGCTCTGAAGTTATACATCGTTGTGTTTTTGAGTGCAGTCATGTAAAAAAAATCTACATTTGTAAGTTGCACTTTCATGATAGAGATTGCACTAGAGTACTTGAGGCGAATTGAAAAATACTATTTATTGGTTTATCATTTTTACAATGCAAATATACCAAAATATCCAAAAATATTTAATCAATTTCAAAATGTCAATTGGTATTCTGTTGTTTAACACTGCGATTAATTGTGATTGATTTATTTAATTGCAATTAAAGTTTTTGAGTTAAACGTGTGAGTTAACTGCAATTAATCGACAGCCCTACCTTTTTTTTTACTATTTTCTTTAAGCATAAGAGTTTTAACATAAGAGGTTGTGAATCTCCATCTGCAGTGTCTATAGCTTCAGTGTCATCTGTAGGTACAGTAGAACCTCAAAGTTACGAACATCAGAGTTACAAAATAACCAGTCAACCACATAGCTCATTTGGAACCGGAAGTACACAACCGGGGGGGGAGGGATAGCTCAGTGGTTTGAGCATTGGCTTGCTAAACCCAGGGTGAGAGTTCAATCCTTGAGGGGGCCACTAAGGGATCTGGGGCAAAATCAGTACTTGGTCCTGCTAGTGAAGGTAGGGGGCTGGACTCGATGACCTTTCAAGGTCTCTTCCAGTTCTAGGAGATAGGATATCTCCATATATTATTGAGGGATAGCTCAGTGGTTTGAGCCTTGACCTGCTAAACCCAGGGTTGTAAATTCAATCCTTGAGGGGGCCATTTAAGGATCTGGGGCAAAAATCTGTCTGGGGATTGGTCCTGCTTTGAGCAGGGGGTTGGACTAGTTGACCTCCTGAGGTCCCTTCCAACCCTGGTATTCTATGAACCAGCTAGTAGCAGAGACCAAAGGGAAAAAAAGCAACTACAGTACAGTATTGTTAAACATAAACTACTAAAAAAATACAGGGAAAGCAGCATTTTTCTTCTGTATAGTAAAATTTCAAAGCTATATTAAATCAATGTTCAGTTGTAAACTTTTGAAAGAACAATCATAATGTATTGTTCAGAGTTACGAACATGTCAGAGTTACAAATGTTCCCGAGAAGTTCGTAACTCTGAGGTTCTACTGTACCACCAGCAGTGCTGCAACTAAACATATGTCAGACAATAAATGACCCGTGTTTGTGTTTAAAAAACCAAAAAGCTTCATCATCCAGTAAAACCACCAATCATAATCAGGACCAGCAAATTCCAGCAAACCTCCATAGATGAAAAGATTGTTCAGTTTGTTTATGCAACAGATTCTTCCTTTTGTCTTTTCAGAACAAACAATTCAGTGACATAGTTCAGTCATTATGACCAAGCTACTCTCCACGTAGCAAACCAGACATTGCTAGAAAGTTGCTGGATATGTGTATGAGAAGCAAATTGAACAGTGTGCAAAAAATACTGATGGGAAATTTGTTAATCTGCTCCATCGATCAAGACTCAGTGTACACAATGACCTAGTATTATGTGCTTGTGTGACAACAGAAGATGGGGTTGTTTATCTCTCAGAAACAATTGATACATCAGGAAAGGCCTATATAGAAGAATATTTAAAACTGTGAACTAAAATTCAGGTGTCAAGTGTGCAGTTTTCTCACAGATAATGCTGCAAATGTAGCAAAGATGAGAAGAAATCTAGAAAAAAAGAATGAAAGGAACCTGATACTTATAACCTACAGGTGCAGTGTTCATTTGATGCATCTTTTAGACAAAGACTTAAGTATAACTTAACAATAAAGGACAATATTGCTGAAATTATTTCTACAACAACCACTTTGTTTCATTTTCTCTGAAGAGAGCAGGAGGATCCAAATTAATTCTTCCCCGAGATGTGCGATGGAATTCAGTGTTTTGAGCTATTTATTAAGAGCAGGCCTATTCAGATGATAATTTGTGAACAAAACTGTGACAAAATTGATGGAACTATCACAAGCAAAGTAGATAACATGGGACTAAAGAGAAATGTAAAGATACGCTGAATATACTGAAACATATTTCCATAGCCTTGGACAAACTGCAGAAAAATTGCTGCTGTATTGCTGATGCTGCTGAAATTTGGAAAGAACTTAGAGACATGGAAGAAATACCCAACAACAAACTTAAATTGCAGGCAGTAAAGAAGCAGATTTTCTTGCACACACAAGCACATGCTGTCTCTTTCCCACACACTGGCAACAGGGACAGTCATGTCTAATGATTGCCTATGCTGCCAGGCTTCACGGCCAAAACTGATTGGGCAAATGGGTTAAGCAAAGTCATACACTCTGCTGCATCAGATTCTGATACTTGGTCCTTCACTTCAAGACATTAGCATGCCAGCTAAAGAGGCATCATGTGCCACTTTTGGGAGTATGTGTGACCTAACCTGTCATACATGTGTTTATTGCGGGGGGTGGGGGGAGAGAAGGGTAGTTTTTTGTTTTTGTTTTATTCTTGGATTGCACAGCTGTTATATAGTTTTCAAAAAAAGTGCTAGTGAAATTTTAACTCTAAATTAATTGAAATGCCATATAATGCTTGCCCCAGACTAGGGAACTTGCTTCCCCAAGAGATAAGAATGATGATGGAACTCACCACTTACGGAACTAAAAACAAAACTCATTTTTAATCAGTTTTTCCAATAACTTTTTCACATACAGACACCTCACTGCCATTCTTACACATGAACATAAACAAGCAAATTAGACGAAGGTTTCTAACCATCAGAGGAGTGAATTTCTGGAACAGCTTTCCAAGGGGAGTAGTGGGGGCAAAATTTTGGCAATTAATTGATCTTTGACTGTTAGCAGGTAAATATGCCCAATGGTCTGTGATGGGATGTTAGATGGGGTGGGATCTGAGTTACTACAGAGAATTCTTTCCTGGGTGCTGGCTGGTGAGTCTTGCTCACATGTTCAGGGTTTAACTGATCGCCATATTTGGGGTCAGGAAGGAATTTTCCTCCAGGGCAGATTGGCAGAGGCCCTGGAGGTTTTTCGCCTTCCTCTGCAGCGTCGAGCACGGGTCACTTGCTGGAGAATTCTCTGCACCTTGAGGTCTTTAAACCACGATTTGAGGACTTCAGTAACTCAGGCATAGGTTAGAGATTTGTTACAGGAATGGGTGGGTGAGATTCTGTGGTCTGCGTTGTGCAGGAGGTCAGACTAGATGATCATTATGGTCCCTTCTGACCTTAAAGTTTATGAGTCTATGAGTAAACAAAACCTACCAACTAATCAAGCTGTTTCTCCTACTTGGCTGGGAAAGAAGTAGGAGGGGAAGAGAAACTGTTATTTTCTATTTTTGAATACTTATGAGATGTTGATATACTCCACTGATGAACGGTTATATGAGATACTAAAGATACCTCAACAAATGGTGTTGAATTTTGAGAAACTTAACGTATGGTCTGCTAGTATGCGATGTGGTTTTAGGAATATATTTTTTTCATTCCATTTAAAATCCATCCTTAACTGTCAAGATAATGCAGACTGTTTTATTTTAAGACTGCTTAGCTTCTTTTGTTGGTTGCTTTATTTAACTTGATATTAACAGTCTTCACTATAAATCTAAAGTTTATTTTAATCCCTGAACATTGCTTAACACTTTCTAGCTGCCCCATTACTTTTGTAATGCAACAGCGCTCCATAATTGTGATACTGATGCACAAGTGTATATTTTTTTTGTTTTACTAAGGATTATGCTTCAGTGGCTTTATTACTTTTAATCTATTCTATCTAATATTTTGGCAATATTAATCATTTGTTAATCACAAAACCCTTTTTGCCATACTTAGAAATTCACCTAAAATCTTTCATTTTCTTTTCAGGAGTGTGCATTGCTTGGAAGGATTAAAGGGGAAAAAATGTTTTCCTTGAAGGATGCTGTGATGGGTGCCTCCACTTTCTTTGCTTCAGCTCTGCCACACGATGTCTGTGGAAGCAATGGTCTTCCTCTGACGCCAAACTCCATTAAAATTTTGGGCCGTTTTCAAATCCTTAAGACAATCACCCATCCCAGACTTTGTCAGTATGTGGACATTTCTAGAGGAAAGCATGGTGAGTGTTTTCTTTCCTAGGGAAATTGCATTTTTATGCGAGAAGGTATTTTACAGTAATGATTTTGTTGATGCGTGAAGGTAGCTGTTCCAGTAAAATTTTTTCCTTTGTTGCTGTCACGGCTGTATCCCCACTTTGAACTTTAGGGTACAATGTGGGGGCCTGCATGAAGACTTCTAAGCTTAACTACCAGCTTAGCTCTGGTCCGCTGCCACCATCTCAAGCTAATTCCTTTCCCTGGGAAGCCTTGAGAAACCTTT